GAAGCTAATATCCAGCATGCCAGAGCGAATTGCAGAGGTTATGAAGAACAAGGGTCAACACTGTAAATATTGACTCATTATATATTTTTTGCCAATAAAAGCCTTTAAAACGTATAATATGCTTATCATTGTTTTCCAGTATACCATAGAAACATGTGGAAAAATAATCTACAAATACTGAAGCAGCAAACTTTGCAAAACATACAATTTATGTCACTGCCAAAACTTTTGGCCATGACTGTACACAAAAAAATATTATTAAAAATATATATAATAAAAAATATAAAAGCTGATAGCTTTCATCCACCTTGCCTGATTGAGAATATTTCACATGGCCAGTTCCAAAGATTGAAATGTATTTGTGACTTAGAAGATGATTTTGAAATTGAATTACAGGATATGACTAGCAGATTTTGACAGAGGTTATGATTCGAAGGTTTTAACAAGAGCCACAGAGAGAGTTGAGTCTAAGAAACAATTATTGAATAAGAAGACAACATTCTAATACCAATTCTAATGGGTTTTTTTTTTCTGGACAACTTATAAATTCCAATTGGGACATCATCGAAAGTGATAGTACTCTATGAACAGCTATACGAAATAAGGTGGTACATAATTATCTTCTAATTTCCGGCCCTTGAGAAGAAAACATGGCTTGGTTCTTCAACAGGCAGTTTTAGGTGTGGAGTGTTGTAAACATTGTGACAACATGATGAGAATAAAAAATGATTTCTGGGAAAGTTTATCCTATTGAGTCCTTCATTAATTTTAATTCCTCGTATGTAATATATAGGTTAGAATGTGAGTGTGGACATTTCTACATTGGTTAAACCAAAAGGAAATTGTGTTTAAGAGTGTCTGAGCATAAATATGCTATTTGTGCGAAAAACATGTTATATCCTATGGAGAGGCATTATAATGAAGTAGGTCACGCTAGTGAGAGCCTTCTTAAAGTGATCGGGATTGAATCATGTTCAATAAGAGGAGGCAATAGACTAAAATGACTTTTGTAACAAGAGACTTTTTGGATCTATACAGGGACATAGCCTCCTGGAGTTAAAGGGGTCATATGGTGCTTTTTTAAAGATCATTATTTGGTGTAACAGAATATGCTGACATGCTTTAATGTTTAAAAAACACATTATTTTTCAAATACTGTACATTATTGTAGGTCCTCTATGCCCCGCCTCTCTCAAATGCTTCGTTTTCTACAAAGTCCCTCCTTCAAACAAGCGCAGTCTGCTCTGATTGGCCAGCTGACCCAGTGCATTGTGATTGGCCGAACATCACAAGCACTCATCGGAAATGTAACGCCCCTTACCATAATCGCGAACTTCATGTTTCAAAATAAATGTAAAGACAGAACCCGAAAGGGGAACAGAGTCGCGTGACAGACACAGTGATGAAGCTGGTATGTGTTTGCAGTACACAAGCCACGGTTAAGACAGCT